AAATCGTTTCAAGATTATAGGCTATAAGATGACTAAAGGTAAAAGTCTGCACTTTTCTGCAAATTATGAAGAAACGACTTCATTAACTATTGCGTGAAACTAATAAACGAGAGATTTTATTGAGTTACATCGAACGGTACTTAAATATTTTAATTCGGTGCAGCCGTTTTTGATAAAACTAGTAGGTAAAAATTGGTTCACACACCGAGTCACACATGCTTTTCCCAATTTTGCTACCAAACAAGTGTCGGAATTGCTTAAAACGTCGAGAAAATTGGCAATCAGACTTTGTTAGGGGGAAGTTTCGTAACGCCGGACGGCACCTAAAGCCGGACACTCTATTTAACACGTATTATTAAGGAGAGTATAAATCTTTTTATTTCAAAATACAAGTGAAAGAGGCGCGGGGGGCACACAGGTGCAGGATCACGCGCCAAGACTGACCTGTGACGCACACGGCCACGGCTGGTCTTAAGTGGTTAATCACGGCGTCACCTAAATATCAATGGAAGAAATTCCAGTGTATTCATGCATTTATATTTTAGTGGCATTCAAAAATAAAAGTAGTACTTGATTGTTATCCGTAAAATGGTAGAATATTATTAGATATTTTAAACAATTTTAGTAGGCACACCAGATGAACGCAATTGTCTGTCCTTAGCACCGGACACTAAGTTGTCCCTTAGCGCCGGAAGTAAACATATTGATATTTCTTGTGAGAATTGACGTAATTTATTCTGATTATTTAATATTGTTCTGTATGAGCGCTAACGGTCACTACATTCCCCAATTTTTCGTATTTTCTAGTCAAAGAATGAAAATCTCAGGATGAATGCTCCAGCTGAGAGCATCGGTGTGGCCCAGCCAAAAGGGTGGATAATCAATGTTTTTTTTTTGCAATATCTAAGAATATTCGTCAAACACAAATGTGCAAACATTCCAGAGTGTGGAGATGGCTACATATGTAAAATCATATTTTTTGTTACCAAAGTTTGATTGATAGTATTAATTATTGTTTAGCAAAGATTGCGTTTTTGTTAATTTAGTTTGATTTCTAACTTTGTTATCTAACATAAATCATAATTTAATAAACATTTCGTAAAATATTTTTTGATCTCTTTATAAATAAACTTAGGTGTCCGGCACTCGGGGACTTATCCTAATTTAATTAGCAAATTTGGCAAAAACTTAAACTTCTTCTTCGGTAAGTTTAATTTGCATAAAACAATATTTTGATTAAAACCATATATATATATATATATATATATATATATATATATATGTATGTATGTATGTGTGTGTGTGTGGGTACTCCGGTAACTTGAATATTATTTTCATTTTGGGATTCGTTTTGATGTTCCGTAAGATCTCTTTTTTAGTAAAAAAGAATCTTTTAGTCACTACCGTTCTGAGAATTTTTTACACATGTTATAATGCTAAACGTGAATTTAATAATAACTGACACTGCTTCAATAAAGCGATTTCACTGAATCTAAAACTTCACTTCGGTAAGACAATAATAATACCAGATAATTTACTAACTATTACTAATCTGTAATACAATTTCGATTAAAGTTTCCTACAATATAATATGCGACTCATATCTTGTTATAATTTGCTGTACGTTTTATGTTTACATTTGTTGCTAACAATATTGCAAAAATTACTAGAAATTGATATATTGATCAGCATATAAATATAAATAAATCTATAAATGTACAACCAAGGAACTTTAAGAATATTTTTGCAATATTTTAATTCCAAAAAGTTTATAAAAACTAATTGACAAATTCTCAGTTGTGGTATTCTTGTATTCCTTTCTTGTATTCTCCAAGAGAACTGATTTGATTTAAAAACTTGGATGCACTTATTATCTATATAAGTCTTGGCTCAGATACTGAAATTGATAATTTCGAAAATTTTGATATTAATGAAGATATGTTGATTATTTATGAAATGAGCTATATTTTTTAGAGAAAAATGAAATTTTTCTATTTAATAAAAGACGTTTTGATTAGAAAATGAATGATATTTTAGATATCATTGAAAATTTAAAAAAACTTACAGATTTTTTTTGTTCAGAAAACTCGTAGTCAAACTGTTCGCATAGCTAATACAATGAATAAATGACAATATTTTTTTTCTAATATATGCCAAATTGACCGGAAAATCTTAAAACCTAAAGATAGAAACAGAATATTTGCGATTATTCGGCAGATAACTATCAATTTATCGAATATGAAAGTTACTTTTAGAAGCGCCCAAATTTTAATTTAATCAAAATTGCTGTTTGTAAGCATATGTTTTTCATTAGAGTTCTTTATTATATGCTGCATCTTGAATTAGTGTAAAGTTCTAATGAAAACATCTGCCTAGCCAGAACATTATGGTCCGCCTAAATAATAAAAAAAGGAATTCATTGATAGTCTAAAAGAGTTGGGTTCTACTTCAATCTATTATAAACTTGGTGATATGATTCACTTGCTTTATTACATGCTTTTGATTAGAGGTGCACTTGCAGAGACGCATTCGGGAGTAGGTGTTCTTGAAAGCGTAGTTATTAATTAGCTTCCTGAAACAACAGTTTATTTTTACGCCAGAAAATCCGACTTGCTCATTTTATCTGATCTCGACTTTTCAATTTTTCTGAATCGTTTGACGCCGAAATTGGAAAAAGTATGTGTGTGTAATTAGTTTTGCGAGTCTATCGGCCGAGCCGTTTCTTTACGTTAAGTAGAAAAGAACAAAATTGATCGTTTAAGTTTTCGCAAAAAATCCTGAACCAATTTTGAAAATTGAGAAGCCGTTCGAAACATATCAGTTGTGAATTGTATTGATTAGTTTTTAGTGAAGATCGGTTGAGGCAATTATTTTGATGATTTCAATGAAAATTTGTATGATGTTTTATTTTATTGTCTACGGAATATCTTAAAATATTATAGAAATTTGATAAGGTTTTATGCTGTATTAAGAAATGCCTTAAATGATCAACAATTTTCATATTATAATTCATATAATAACAGAAGCTTCGAATTTACTAAATAATGCACAAACAATTTTTTAGATTCAAAGTATGCGTTATATTATACTATGAGTTTTTTCCCAAATTTTTCGCAGATTTTCAATTTTGGCTACCACAAATGTATTGCTATCAATTAGTTAATAATTGTTAATAATTAATAATTAACTTCACATTTTTATGTGTGAATATTATTTTGTAGTTGCGGATTTGTATGAAATATATAAGAATGAAGTTTTTTTTTGTTTTTGTAGGATTGTTTATTACATTTAATATGAAAAATACATTCGATGAATTTACAACATGAATATCTATTTTCACTTGAAGGTAACAATACAATTATTTAAATTATAATAAATTCACATAATTATCAATAAAAACATATGACCATTACAAAAATTATAATCATATGACGATTGTTTGAGTTGCCTTCTACAATCTATATATCTATAGAACCGACGTAATTAATTAAGTCAAATCATAACACCCTAGGGGTTCTTCAACCCTTTCGCTGCGTGTACGCATGTCGTTATGAGTTAAAGTATTGAGAAATCTTGTCTGTTGTTGTAATTTCTAGTTCATTAGTCACATTTTTATTGATAACGATAGAAATGTCTTCAAGTAAATCGTTGTACCTGTCCGTTCAGCAGTACTACCGAGTGGCACGCTGTTCCCGTACAGCAGTGACACTCAGCGGAAAGAACTTCCATAGCGGTTAAGTTCCGATAGTTGTCTGAATAATAATAAAATGAAAATTTATAGTTATCACCGATATTCATTGTGGTTGAGTAATTGTAAATCTTCTAAACTAACATTATAACAATGTTTATAAATAAAAATTAAACTAAAATATATCGATTAGAATTGTGAAGTGATAGGATTTGCCCCGCTCATCCAATTAGAAATGCATGTTGCGTGATCGGCTTTGGCTTCATATAAGTAATACCCTGATTTATTTAGATCTCGTGCATTTAGCATTTGCAAGATCATAATTCATAAAACAACGTGGGTCTTTTATCATAGTATTACATCTAGAAACATTTCAAATATTCGTGTTACGTTCAGACGAGACCAATGCGTATCCGTGTACATCTACGTTATTTAAAAAAGAGGCTGTTTACCATAGAAGATTCATGCGAAATACCGTCCACCATATAAATCTGTCATTGACTTCGTTGCGGTTGCGAACTAAAAGGAAAAGTGAGGACAAGCTACAAGTAATAATACGAGCGCCAAGCACTCACCTCAGAGTAACGATCAGTCGACGCAATCAAAGAGCCGATGCAGAAATTTTCCGACATTTTGCCAGAATGATATTAAATAAATTTACAATATTTTCTGATATAATTAAGTTTTTACGATTCGAGATGCTTCTTCAAAAATAAATCTACAAATGTCGGTAACTTATAATTAAGTCAGTAAAAATTAGTTGTGCCAGCCAGTCAAAAAATTCATCTGATAATTTCATGCGCATATGTCTAATGATCATTTTTGGCCGCCAAATGGCATTTTTTTAAACTTTTTTCATTGAGAGGCCATAACCGCTGGACCTGCCTCCCTATAAATTTAAACAGTTCTGTGTTTAGTCAATGCAAATGTTTTTTGAATTATTTAAACCGGTTGATCTGTGTTCACACACACATACATTTTTAACTTCCCGTAAGGTAAGTTATTGTAATCGTATGAAAATCTAATTTGAAATTTACACACACATACATCCATTTTTTAAAGTATGCCAAAATGTTCAGAAACCTTCAAAACGTGAAGAAATGTACAAATTTTCAATTTCGTTTTCTGGACGATTACTATAACTTACCCTACGAGAAGTTAATAATATTACTGAAAAGTCAGAAATAATAAAATAATCGAACTTCGAATCGAAAAACAAATGAACATTTCATGTCAAACAAATAATATTTGTTTTCTTTTTAAAATTGTCATCTACAATTCAAATATATTTAAACTATACTGATAATTAAAAATGACTGCCCGCGCTGAATGGCCAGATGTCGAAAAAGAACTTTCAACTACTGTGTTCCAGAGAAGTGACTTTCAGGAAACTGTTTTTAATGCTCGAGATGATGAGGTACCCGAGACCACAAACATGGTTGAGATTTCTTTCATACAAAAAATGATTCGGAAAGGCCTCAGTGCATCATCAAACGAAACAATTGAGATTCGGCGTCAAGATCCTGCATCACCATTACATTCTTGTAAAAAATTTGAAGAATTGAATCTGAAAGAAGAATTGGCTAGAGCACTTTATGCCATGGGTTATAACGTGCCATCGAAAATTCAGGAAGCGGCCTTGCCTGCGTTATTAGCTGATCCTCCACAAAATGTAATAGCACAGTCTCAAAGTGGTACTGGAAAAACTGCCGCTTTTGTGCTGGCGATGTTGAGTCGGGTCGATACTACAATGAAACATCCACAGGCCATATGCCTAAGTCCCACTTACGAATTAGCTATACAAACAGGTAAAGTGGCCGCTCAAATGAGTCAATACTGTCCTGATATATCGATCAAATACGTTGTTCGGGGCGAATTTCGCAGAGGTCAAAAACTTACAAACCATATATTAATTGGCACACCGGGTAAACTATTAGACTGGGCATTAAAATTTGATATGTTTGATATGAACATGATTAAAGTGTTTGTCCTGGATGAGGCTGATGTCATGATTTCGACTCAAGGACATCACGACCAGTGCATACGATTACATGCGAAACTTTCACCCAATTGTCAAATGTTATTGTTCTCCGCAACATATGACCAGGCTGTGATGGAATTTGCAGAAATGATCATTCCCAACCCATTAGTAATTCGATTATTGCGAGAAGAGGAGTCTCTGGAAAATATTAAACAATATTACGTGAAGTGTGTTGATGAAAACCAAAAGTATAACGCTATCACTAATATATATGGAGTAATATCTATTGGACAGGCTATTATATTTTGTCGAACTCGTAGAACTGCCTCATGGCTTGCTAAAAAGATGCGTGAAGATGGACATTCTGTATCAGTGTTGTCTGGTGAACTTCCAGTTGAGCAAAGAATACTTATTCTTCAGCGATTCAGAGCTGGTGTTGAGAAAGTATTGGTTACCACAAACGTTCTCTCTAGAGGAATCGATGTTCAACAAGTATCCATCGTTGTAAACTTCGACATGCCTGTAGATATATGCAAAGGTGCTGACTATCAAACCTATCTTCATCGGATTGGAAGAACTGGACGTTTTGGTAAACCTGGAATTGCGATTAATTTGATAGATTCATCGCAAGCCATGGATGTTTGCTTAGACATTCAGAACCATTATGGTAAAATTATTATATGCTTAGACGCAGAAGATCCTGATGAAATTAAAAAACTTGAAAATTAATATATAACCGAATTCTTAATTTTTGTATTTACATAGGAATGACAAAAATTGTATATGAATTTTATAAAAAAATTAATTATATGTGTTTTTTACACGTTGAAGCATTAGATAATTTTAATTAACTTATATTATAAATATTGTACATTTACGAGTATATCTTACAATACTATAACCATAGCTGGGCATTAACTCGTTAATCCGTTAATCGTTAATTAACGAAGTTAACATTTTGATTAACGGATTAACTTTTAAGTTAACTTTTAAAAATGTTAACGGACACGTTAACTTCCGTTAAAATGCGAGAAGTCCGTTAATCGTTAATCCAATGCCTACTATTTACCGCACGGCACAGCTTTAGCCAATGCCTTATTAAACGGCATAGAGAAAAGATTTGGACTACTCCTGAATGATGAACAGTGCCAACTTGCCGCGGCATTTCACCCAAAGTTTCGGTTAATGTGGCTGGAAACGTATGACAGCAGTAGAGAGGAATGCAGAAACTATAAACTATTGGACAAAAAATTATTTTTTTTTGAAAAAAAAATGTTTTCTTTATTTTGACATATTTTGGAAGATCTGAACTTTTTTTCAAAGCAATTTTACTGCTTTAGGACTGCATAGAGACAAAATATAAAGCGCGTAAGCGCCGCGTCGCTGTCTAAAGGATAAACATTCGTACGGAACCCATAGGAATGTAAATAAAATTTATACTTATTGTTAAAATCTCTATAAAATATCTGATAATTTGATGTGCATATGTCTAATGATCATTTTGACCGTCAAATGGCATTTTTTTTTACTTTTTTCATTAGATCTCCCAAACCGCTAGACCTGCCTTCATGAAAAATTGATCAGTTCTTCATAATTGTCAATACAAGTAAAATGTTTTTTGAATTATTAAAATCGAACGCTCCGTTCTCTTAAAAACTGAGTTACCGTTTTTGGCTCAATTTTTCCCCATATCTTCGGAACGGCTAGACCTGCCTTTGCCAAAAACTAATCAGCACGTCTTCTTATCAATACGAATCGAATGTTTTTTGAATTATTCAAATCGGTTGATCCGTGTTCCCGAAATCGTCGACGAAAATTTGTATCCGAATACACATACATACACGCATACACATACATCCATTTTTTCTAAGGTATGCCAAAATATTCAGAAACCTTTGAAACGTCGAGAAATGCAAAAATTTTCATTTTCGATTTTTTTGCTATTACTATAACTTGCCCTACGGGAAGTTAAAAAAAACTCTTTCCCTTTATTTAGAAAAAAATTCTTGTAAAAACAATATGCAATCATAAAAACGGAAAGTTGACCAATAGCGTTATCACGGTATGTGATAATTGTGCCATTTTCCTTATACACACGGAAGTGTGCATAAAACGCGCGAGGGGTTAAATTACACATTTGAATTATACAAGTATTTTGTTTTATTCAGAACCTGTTAACTTCCAGAACCTAAACTAATAAGTTTTTTAAGTTCACTAACGCAACGATATAAAAATGTAATTTTACACATATTAACTGATTAACGATTAACGTTAACTTGCGTTAATTCTTCCGAAATGTAACGCTTTAACGTTTAACGAAGTTAACTTTTTTTGTAGCGGATTAACGATTAACGAAGTTAACTATTTGATTAACGAAGTTAACTATTTGATTAACGGTGCCCAGCTATGACTATAACAAATTATTTATAAGACTAAATATCGTGACCGTTAATTTCGCTTAAATCAGTACTTTTCTTTTTTAATATAGATAAATATATAGGCTTCAAATTTTTATTGCTGATTGCTGTCCCGGCAAATGTTTTAACACGCTAAAGACCGCATCAAAAATCGAGCTTTACGGATACTTTACCTTACTCCCGTTAGGTAAGATATAGTAATCGCAAACAAATCGAAAATGAAAACTTTTGCATATCTACACGTGAAGGTTTCTGAACATTTTGGTATGCCTTAGAAAAAATGAATTTTTGTGTGTGTGTGTATGTGTGTATGTTTGGATACAATTTTTTGTCCACGAAGCAACCGATTTGAATGATTCAAAAAACATTCGATTCCTTTTGATAAGAAGATGTGCTGATTAGTTTTTGGTGGAGACAGGTCCAGCCGTATGAAAGATACGGGGCAAAATGTGCCAAAAACGGTAATTCAGTTTTTGAGAGTACGGAGTACCCGATTTTAATGATTTGAAAAACATGTTACTTATATTGAAATAAAGAATTGAGGAAAAAATTAAATTTACAATTCAGTTTAAAAATGTATATAATTTGAATGCGTTATTCGTAATCGTAAGAAATATATCCTCAGATAGATTCATTCAAGTGTTTTGAGCGATAAGATTGTCACTGTATATTTTATGAACGATAAAATAAATAGTGATTATAATTATCTATTTGTTTAAAACGTTTAAAATGTTGAAAACCATTTTTATTAATCAATATTTATTGATTACTGTATATTTATACGATATAACTATATACTGGGATTCGTATGGACAGGGTCGCGCGTTCGAATCCCCGCTATGGCAATCTGACATCGGGCAGCGCGATGTCCATTTTCAATTGAAAATATAGATAAAAAAAATGTTTCCAATTGAAAATAAGTCCATCTCGGGCACTGCGATGTGAAATGGCAATGGGAAACCTCTCACACTATTCTTCCCTGAATCGAGTTGGAGTTTAACTCAGCTCACGGACCTGCCCTAGGGCAGCACTACCCATTAATTAACTATATACTGATTTTTTTCCTTGAATTTAATTCTGGTACAAAAAGTTCCAGTAATTTTTCTTAAGGCACGATGCCATGCACCACTAGTCTTATCTATAAATTACAAGATTAAATAATGAGGCAAACCAATTTTTAATTATCAGATATTTGTAAAGAAACGATTTAAATGGCATGTTAATTACTTCTTGAAACACCATAAATACTGACCGTTTCTTCCGGTAATGTGCGCATTACCAAATTTGTAACTCGAAATATATTTTAAAGGGTAATAACATAATTTGGTAAGTCGGCATTATTAGTAAAGTGATATAAAAATCACGAGTTTGTATACATGAAGAAATACTTGCCAGCAATACAAGAAATACCGTTTATTATAACTTGACACAACAGTTAGACCAATAAACTGATTTATGATATTTTATTGTTAATAAATAATTATTGAGCAGGTACCTTTAATCCAAACACACTTTATTATTATATAACCATATCTCATTATAACATCTAATGCACATATTAAAAAAAATACATGCAATAAAGTACAGTTTGAATTTTACAACTTGCCCACGTGGTCTGACTTTTCATGTTTTTATTATATTTGTAAATTTTAGGTTTGGATCTTGATATAGTCATGTATTAATTTATAGGTATATACATACATACATATTTAGTATTTACATTCAAATATATATATATATATATATATATATATGTGTATATATATACTAGATGACCCGACAGACGTTGTCCGGTACCCACGTCCACAATTCAAAAGTTCAAAATTTGTTATTATTGTACCCTATACTTTTTAATATCCTATTTGATGTCCTGCCTCTGTGATTCATTCATAGTCATTTTAAGAGTCCAATCATTTTTCATATAGCTCGGTAACAGGTCAATTATCATATTTTTTGTAAACGTCTTTCATTGAATTCTGATCAAGATTTTCTGAGCCTATGGAAAAGCTCAAAACAGATATTGGCGACAAAAAGGTTACCATCGAAAAATTTAGATGCGACAATTATAGATCGATTCTCGCACAATTACCCCATCGTACAAATGTTTCCTTATCCACACACAGTATATGGTTTATGAATGGCTTACAGAAGAGCAACAATGTTATAATCTGACGATACAATAGATTTTGAGAGAAAACTAGGTACCATACTAATGAATGCTTGGATTTTGCTTTGCAACTAAAAAAATAATAATAATAAAACGCGCGGAAATAATATAAAATGACGAATACCCAAATGTGACAAAGCCATCGCATGCTGCACGAATGTGGCTTTGCGGTACTTTGTGCCATTCCTGACGAAGCGCCTTCTTGAGATGATCGACTTTTCGGTATTTTTTAGTGCAAACCCTACTCTTCAAAATGCCAAAGTCCGAAAGTCCAACGTATTTCGATCTTGATGTGGTGGCCATTGTTCGGTGGAAATGAAGCGATGATTTTTCTGGTGCTGAGTCCTGTTGTAATGTTCATAGTCTGTGGCCGAAATGTTTTTCTGCTCATTTATTTTGATCCCACGATCGATGAATACGACCCAGTGGTGAGCGACCGTTGGCCCACACCTTTACCGTCGGCGGCGCTTGAGTTCTGGTGGCCAATCGAAGGTGTAAATTTTCAGCTGACCTGGCAAGTAATAAACTCGATCATTTTGTTTGTTCACAAACTGCCCAATTTCAAATGACTTTTCATCAGAGAAAACCAAATTTAGTAACTCTTTACTTTCGTGCAAGGAAAGCAACTCCTTTGCTCTTTCCATTCTAACTTTTTTGTACTAAGTTCCTTCATTTTTTGGAACTTCAATCAAGCTCATGTTTCAATATATGCTGCATCCGTTCTCGCGATATGTTCAGGTTCACGAGATATTTTTTTACTACTGCGGCGTGGAATTCTGGCCTTCGGATCGTTTCTGGTGTTGGTGGCGACTTAGAAATGATAGCTGTCTGAAGTTTGTTGCAATACATATCACTCGCCTTTTTTTTTTTGTATAGCCAAGGAAATGCCTTTATGCATCCCAGACTGGTGTTTTGTCTGGGTATGTCGGACCCAATACCACCCTGGTATAATACCAACTAAAACCTCCGCTTTGCCCTTGCCTCTGGTCCCCACGGAAACGGCCGTTAGGCATTACTTCGCGGGGAAAGAATGTGGAACGTTAACATTCAAAACCTTGACTTTAAATTTAGCTTTTAATTGTGCAAAGGCCCATTTGCTTTGCACAATTTCTCTTTCCATAGAACGCAGGTCAATTAGCACATAT